AGCGTATGTAACCCGAGGTACCGCTGTATATACCCAAGAGACAACATTTCTGGGAAGGTGGGACAATATTTTAAACCAAGCCAAAGAACTACATAGGCTGCTACAAGGCTAACAGTCTCTGGGGCCAATAGTGTGTGTGGGGGGGCAATGGCATCCAAGCCACAACAGCTTCAGGCTTTTTCGTTCCTCAGTATTGGCAGTAAAATCTGTCTCAAATGGGGGGGGGGGGGAGGTGTAGGATCCGCCACCCTTCCAACTCTACAATTCTATGATTCTATTATTCTACCCCAGGAGTCAGCAACCTTTTTCAGCTGTGGGCCAGTCCACCGTCCCTCAGGCCATGTGGTGGGCTGGACTATATTTTTTGGGGGGAAAATGAACGAATTCCTATGCCCCACAAATAACCCAGAGATGCATTTTAAATAAAAGCACACATTCAACCCATGTAAAAACATGCTGATTCCTGGACCGTCCACGGGCCGGATTGAGAAGGCGATTGGGCTGCATCCGGCCCCCAGGCCTTAGGTTGCCTACCCCTGTTCTCCCCTTTGACTGAAAGTGTAAAGGAGAGCAAAGGACCCAATGCCATACATTGGCACATGTTCTGATGGCTCTTTAAAAGAAAAGGGTGGGGGAAATGAAGGCTTACTGATAAGGAGATGTGCAGGTAAGAATTTCAAATATTCTTTCAAGTTTGTCTGCTGATAATTAAAGAGCAGACCCTCTAAGTGTCCCTATTTTCCAGGGACAATCCCAGATTTACAGAAGCCATCTTGGTTTCTGATTTGATTCTGGAATGTCCACTTTCCCTTAAAGGTAAAGGTAAAGGGAATCCTGCCGGAGCGGTACCTATTTATCTACTTGTACTTTGATGTGCTTTTGAACTGCTAGGTCGGCAGGAGCAGGGACCGAACAATGGGAGCTCACCCCGCCATGGGGATTCGAACCACAGACCTTCTGATCAGCAAGTCCTAGGCTCTGTGGTTTAGACCACAGTGCCACCCATGTCCCTATCCACTTTTCCTTAGGATGTCCCTATTTTCATTGGAGAAATGTTGGAGGGTATGGAGTTATTCAACTCCTGAGCCATCTGAAGGCAGCTCTGTATAGGGAAGTTTTAAAAAAAAATGTTTAATGTTTTATTATTTTTTAATATATGTTGGAAGCTGCCCAGAGAGGCTGAGGCAATCCAGTCAGACTGGTGAGGCATAAATAGAAAAATTGTTGTTGTTGTAAAGGTAAAGGTACCCCCTGACCAGTCGCGGACGACTCTGGGGTTATGCGCTCATCTCACTCTATAGGCCGAGGGAGCCGGCGTTTGTCCACAGACAGCCCGCAGGTCATGTGGCCAGCATGATAAAGCCACTTCTGGCGAACCAGAACAGCTCACGGAAACGCCGTTTACCTTCCCGCCAGAGCGGTACCTATTTATCTACTTGCACTCTGATGTGCTTTCGAACTGCTAGGTGGGCAGGAGCTGGGACCGAGCATTGGGAGCTCACCCCGCAGGGATTCGAACCGCCGACCTTCCGATTGGCAAGCCCTAGACTCTGTGGTTTAGACCACAGCGCCACCCGCGTCCCTGTTGTTGTTGTAGGACATCCCTATTTCCATAGAAGAAATGTTGGAGGGTAATTACCTCTAGGTAATGAGCAAGCATTCTGCAAGAAGATCAAACCGATCCATTCTGAAGGAAATCAGCTCTGAGTGCTCACTGGAAGGACAGATCGTGAAGCTGAGGCTCCAATACTTTGGCCACCTCATGAGAAGAGAAGACTTCCTGGAAAAGACCCTGATGTTGGGAAAGATGGAGGGCGCAAGGAGAAGGGGACGACAGAGGATGAGATGGTTGGACAGTGTTCTGGAAGCTACCAGCATGAGTTTGACCAAACTGCGGGAGGCAGTGGAAGACAGAAGTGCCTGGCGTCCAGGGGGTCACGAAGAGTTGGACACGACTAAACGACTAAACAACAACAACAACAAATGAGCAAGCCATGGATAACTATTGAATCAGCAAAGTATCCAGCTCATTGCTTCCAATAACACCCAAAGTATTAGGAAAAATAGACATTATCTTCTCACAGGGTTTCACTCCTGTCAGAAATTGTGCTGCAACATTCTGCGCTAACTGCAGTTTTTGGATCAAGTGCAAGGGAAGTCCCACACAGAGTGCATTGCAGTAATCCAGCACTGAAGCCCCCATTGCATGCACTACTGTGGCCAAGTTCTCCTGGTCCAAGAATAGTGGAAGTTATCATAACAGGCACAGCTGGGAAAAGGTGCTTCACATCACTGAAGTTGCCTGGGTCCAGAAGCCTCACCCCCCCACCCCCACCCCAAGACTGCTTACCTGCAACCCCATTCAGAGTAGGCAACTGACCGATTTCTCATGGGAACAACACACCCACAGTGCCTCTGTCTTGCTGGAATTAAATCTCATCTTATTTTCCTTAATCTGCCCCACACCTATGTCTAGGCATCGGTGCAGAGCCTGCACAACAAATTCAGGTGTTAAGGAGAACGAGAGCTGCTGTCACAAGCATATGAATAGCAGCTTGCCCCCAAAGCCTAATGACTGCTCACAACAGCTTCACACAGGTATTAAATACGACTGGGGATACATTAGTGCATTGTGGCAACCCAAATAGCATAACCAGCAGGGAGCTGGAAAGCTCACTCATACTCTCCAAGTATCCTGATTTTCCAGGGACAGTCCCAGAATTACAGAAGCCATCCTGGTTTCTTTTTCTTTTTTTTTTTTTTTTAATAATTTTTATTAACTGGCCAATCACATCAAATTAAATCACATCACATAAATTCCAAATTACAAAGCCAAATTTTTAAATTTTGTTGGGGGAACCCATACTTCAAGATCCAAAGGGGATTCAAATCATCTTCTTATTACTGCATTAATGTCCAAATCAGTCCCAATCAGTCCAAACAGAGTTCATAGTTCTATCCAATCTTATCTTGGTGTTTCCACATCATATCTTGTTCATATAATTTTTCTTTTTCCTTTACGATCTCTTCTGTTAGTCTCCTTAAGCCGATAAGCAAATATAATAATCCTGTGTGAATTTCCCGTTCTTCCAATCTAAGTCCAGATGGTTTCCATAAATCATCTCCTTCGTAGATAACATCGCTCTTTCCATCATAAATTAGGCAGTTGTCACTCTTAAATCCCACCGAGGAGTTAGTCCACGATATGTAAACAACTCTGTTTCTTCTCCTCCCAGACTCAAGAGCTCCGACAGTGCCTCCCAAAATGGCGACGGCATTTTTAACTGCGTCATTCCAAAACTCTTAAATTTCCAGCTTCGTCTTGGAACATTGCTTTGGTTCGAAAATTTATCTCCACACAGCCTTAAATCCACAACTTAAGTCCTTAAAACGACATTTCTGACTCTTTAGGGAGGGGATTCTTGTTTAATCACATAGAGAAATAAAAGAGAGTTTTTCCCCCCTCCCCCCTCAGTCATTTGCCGTACCGTATCTTGACGTATCTTCTCATATCTTATTCTTGTCTTGTTTTATCAGAGATCTCTTCTGTCAGCAGTCTTTACTCCCCCTCTTTCCTTGAAGTATGTGCAATTTATCTCGTCCAAATTGTTTCTTTTGAAGATTCTTGCAAACTAGTGGCGCGGATCAGAGACGGCTTCGAGGAGTGCCGGAATCCCACAGGAGGGCTTTGTGCCTAGTGCCCCCATCCCCACAAATTCGGGGGTGGTATAGGGCACAGCAGGCAAGGGCCGTCCCCCCCACAATCCTGGAGGGGTTAAGGAGGCTAATTACCCCCATCATAGCCTCCAAATTACCTCATGTGGGTCGGAGAGATGTTATTGTCAGCCATCTTCCGATGCGCCCTAGTGGCCCCC